TTCCTATTACACAAGTCTGAACAGCGACTCATTTCCATCATTACCATCATCCCTATTCTTTTTATCATCCTGAACCAATCATATCCATCATTTCCATCATCATTTCTATTCCCATCTACCATAAACACCCCTTCCTATTACATAAATCCTGAACAGCGACTCCCTTTTCTTCCTCGCAGGAGAAACGCGCCAAGAGAGAGCGAAGGATACAGTATCCTCCTCCTCCAGCTTCGTGTTTCTCGATGCACATGTTATCTCGTGGGAATGCATCTACAGCCGTCTATGTTTATCAATGTTTGTTAAAGAATTCGGTAGTGTAAACATGTCAGGACTGTCTCGGGGGACGCTACACAAACGTCATAATTCAAAGAAAAATAAATGAGAAAATAGAAGTTACACATAATTCGAGAAAAATACATGAGAAAAAAAGAAGCTGCACATTATTCGAGAAAAAATAAATGAGAAAAGAAGCTGCACATAATTCGAGAAAAATAAATAAAATGGCTGCACATAATTCAATAAAAATAAATTGGAAAAAAGCTACACATAATTCAAGAAAAATAAATCTAAAAATGCACATAATTTAAAAAAAAAAAATAGAAAGAAGAATCTACACATAATTTAAGAAAAATAAATGATGAGAAAAAAATCGCTATATTCTAATGTAAATAAACACGAACTTGTATCTGACTCTTTTTGCAAATCTTTATCAGTGATATAAACAGTGTTGATAATAATATTACAAATCTGCCCTAAATATTATGTCTCATGAACACCGTGGGAAAGAGGAGTGATGCAGATCTAGAGGAGGAAGAGTAGGAGGAAAGCAAAGAGGAGGAAGAAGAAGAGGAGGAGGAGGAGAGCAAAGAGGAGGAAGAAGAATAGGAGGATGAGAGCAAAGAGGAGGAAGAAGAAGAGGAGGAAGAGGAAGAGGAAGAGGAAGAGGAAGAGGAAGGGAGGGGAGGAAGAGAAGGAGAAAGAAGAGGAAAACTAAAAGTTGGAGGAAAGAGAAGAGAAAGAAGAAAAGTAGAATGAAGGAGAAGAGGAAGAGTAGGAGGAAGAAGAATGAAGAGGGAGAGTAAGAGGAGGAAAAAGAAGAGGAAGAGGAGGAAAAAATGGGAGAGTAGGAGGCGGAAGAAGAGGACGAGGATGACGATAACTACGAATAATAATAATAATAATAACTATAGGAGGAGGAAAAAGAAGAAAGAAAAAGAAAAAAATATATAAAGTAAATTGGAAAACAAGAAGTGAAGAAGAAAAAGCAAGAGAAAGGAGAGAAAGAAAAAAAACACGAGAGCTATCATTAAACTATGAATTTTTATATATCTTTCCTCCTCTGAGCTTACAGACACTGTTAACAAGGGCCCGCGACCTGCTATTTGGATCTCACAAGTTGTCTCGTTCAAAACAAGCTCTTTCAATACTTTTTAAAATAGTTTTCTCTATTTTTCTTATTTTTATCCTCCTTTTAACTTTGCTAAGGAGTTGTTGGAAATAGCTCAGAAGTGGTGCTATTTTTTTTAAATATTGAAAGGTCATAAAATCTTGGTAAGTGTTATCAAAGACTTATGTGGTGAGATAATCAGATTTTATTCTTTAACTTGACGAGAAAGTAAACACTAGCAAACTCGCGAATTATTTTCTTCTTTGGGTGAACCTGAGGAAAACAGAGGGAGAGGGAGAGGGAGAGGGAGAGAGGGAGGAAGAGAGAGAGAGAGAGAGAGAGAGAGAGAGAGAGAGAGAGAGAGAGAGAGAGAGAGAGAGAGAGAGAGAGAGAGAGAGAGAGAGAGAGAGAGAGAGAGGAGAGAGAGAGAGAGAGACAGACAGACAGACAGACAGACAGACAGACAGACAGACAGACACAGACACAGACACAGACAGACAGACAGATATATACAGAGACATACAGAGACGGATAGAGAGGGGGAGGAAAGGAGAGCGAGATAGGGAGAGAGTAAGAAGAAAGAAAGAGAGAGAGACATTGATTGAGACGAGAAGATGATACGGCAATACAACGCAATCACTGTTGACACGTATATAATCTCCCCCCCCCCTACTACTAATAACACATAAAACATAATATCTATATTAGATCAACAGTGTTTATATTCTTACCACATCAACATCTCCAGATAATACAGTGGCGGACTAAAGTCTTTTAACGAAATGAAGCATCGAATCTGTCTCACACTATACAAAAAATGCGGTATTAAGTGGGTGTTCGAAATGCAATTCGAAACAGTTTTGAACGTGACTGTACAAACGAATCACTTCGGTGTTATCATTCTTGAGAGATTATTGCTTGTCTAAGGGCTTTTATTATGTTATTTGCTTCTGTTTTCTTTTATTCTATTTTCGTTTGCGAGATTTATTTGGTTTTGTTGGTGGAGAAGACTGGTTTGTTGATTTTCTCTCGTCATTTGTCCTTTTGGAGACAGATTTGCTGTTTGTTGTCTTGTGTACTGTGTGTGTTTTTGTATGCATCTCTCTTCTCTTTTCTCTTTACTCTTTACTATACTCTACTCTTTTCTCCCAACTCTTTCTTTCTCCCTTTCCATTCATACATTGTACATTTATATACATACACATACATATATGTATATACATACATATACATCTAACATATTAATTATTATATATATGCATATATATACATATATAAACATATATATATATATATACCCATCCATCAATCTATTTCTTCACACACACACACACACACACACACACACACACACACACACACACATATATATTATATATATATATATATATATTATATATATATATATACATAAAGACAAAGTTAGAGAGTGAGAGAGAAGAAGAAGAGGGGGGCGGTAGAGGGGTAGGGAGGGAGAGGGAGGGAGAGGGAGAGGGAGAGGAGAGGGAGAGGGAGAGGGAGAGGGAGAGGGAGAGGGAAGAGGGAGAGGAGAGGGAGAGAGGAGAGAGGAGAGAGAGAGAGAGAGAGAGAAGAGAGAGAAGAGAGAGAGAGAGAGAGAGAGAGAGAGAGAGAAGAGAGAGAGAGGGAGGGGGGGTGATGGAGAGAGTAGAGGGACGGGGAGGAAGGGAGAGAGCGAGAGAGATATGTAAATTATATATATGAGTGTGTGTGTGTGTGTTGCGCGTGTGTGTGTGTGTGTGCGCGTGTGTGTGTGTGTGTGTGTGTGTGTGTGTGGCGTGTGCGCGTGTGTGTGTGTGTGCGCGTGTGTGTGTGCGCGTGTGTGCGTGTGTGCGCGTGCGTGTGTGTGCGTGAGCGTGTCCTTGTAAAGGTTGAAATGGATGCATGTAAATTTCCCGAAGACATGTTGGTATTTGTGTACGTGGGCACGTACAAGATGTAACCATAAATTGACAATCAGTAGCCCTGTGTAAATATTCGCTTCGACGTACTCGAGCAACCATCAGTATATACATATATGCATTTATGCCTACATGCCCGCTGGACCCGCGAATGAATATGCAGCGCCTTCACAGACATTAATCGCCAACTGACAGATCCGAGGAGCAGAAGAACCCGAATATAATTGAATACGACACACCTAACACGGCCTCTGTGCCTGCTTCCTGATTCAGCCAATGTTATTTTATCGTAAATAACTGTATCCTTTGTCTCGGAGCTTCGGTGCGACTACAGCTTGTTTACTTACATTTTCTATAAAAAATGTGATCGTGAGAGAAAATGGTAATTTAGACGGTTATGTTGAACTTAAGGTAGTTTTTTTTTTCGTTTTATAATGTATTTTACTTCGATTTGATGATGTTTTTTTCCGGATATTACTTACGTGTATTTTCGCAAACCCTCTGGAGAAAAAGGACGGATTAAAAGAAAGATGAAAAACATGAGAGAGAAACAGAGGATGATTTGAAGGCAAAGAAGATTAAGAAAAATATCATTTTCACTAGTATGAATTTGCAACCTTATGTTTTTTTTATAACTAAATTCAATAAGAAAGATTACTGGATGCCTACCAGCTATCACATGACAGCAAGACCTTTCCAAAGAAACAGATTTATACATTTAGACGATAAACAAAAACTATATTCCTCCTTTACCTGCAAATCACACTCAACTACCGACTTTTCCACCTTAGGAACAATACAGACTAAAACACCCAAAATAAACCAAGAAAAAAAACGAAAAACGCGAGAAAAACTACACACGTTATCCCTCGCATCGACTAATATTGCATCCAAGAGAATTTTGTTCACCGCCGCCGCCGCCGCACCGACAGATAACAATCTCGGAAGATATGTATTCCCTTACCGGTATTTTTTTCTTTTCTTTTCTTTTCTTTTTTCTTTTGTTAGTCGGTGAATGTTTTTTTCTTATTATTATCGACTTTCTCTTCCTTTTCTTCCTGTGTTATTCGTATTTCTTTTTATTTTCAGTTTTTCAGTTCAGTCAGTTCTTTGTATATGAACAAATTAGTATTTTATTTTTTTCTGGAGGTTTTGCAAATACTCGTTTGCTAATAAACTGGTAATATGTATGATAAGGTGATTAGGTTGTGCAATGTGTGAGTGAGTGACAGAGAGAGAGAGAGAGAGAGAGAGAGAGAGAGAGAGAGAGAGAGAGAGAGAGAGAGAGAGAGAGAGAGTGAGAGTGAGAGTGAGAGTGTGTGAGTGTGAGTGTGTGTGTGTGTGTGTGTGTGTGTGTGTGTGTGTGTGTGTGTGTGTGAGTAGGTGTGTGTGGTGTGTGTGTGTGTGAGTGGTGTGTGTGTGTGAGTGTATGTGGGTGGTCATACAATAAAACCTCAGTACTGCGGTCATAAATTTAGCCTTATTTGAAATTCCACGTCTGTCACACACATAATAATTTCCTGACTCATTTACAGGTAAAGTCTACCATATCATATTCTATTTCCTCCCTTTGTCCCTATTTAAGGTTAAGCATTAAGTGATTTATGTACCGAGTTTCTCTACATGCAAATATATCCACAAATATGCACATATTTTTCCTGTAAAAATGTATGAGCAAAGACATAGGCTCTTAC